AAAACCCAAGCTGCTGGATACACCAGTGAGGGACTTTTCTTGATTAGATCATTGAAGGTGGGGAAACCTACTCTAAATCTATATCATTTGAGGTCTGAAGACTCACCTTAAACCTGGGCTACACCTCCTGGTGACAGCCTATATATGACATGGCAGAAGGAAGCCCTTGCCATTTGCCTGCTTGGCCTCACTGTCTCTGGCAAGTCCATTCCTTCCCTTACAGCCTACTTCTTCAGGACTCCTGTGTATACTGAAGGTCATCTGAGACATCCAACCTTGTGAACTGAACAACTGTTGGAATAGTCAGACCACAGCCTGTAAGTCACTGTAATAAATCATGCACACATGCATACACACACACACACACACACACACACACACACACACACACACACACACACCTTCGCATGTGTTGGTCTGTTTTCAACATGGGTTCATGTGTTCTGAACACAGGGCTTCTTCACCAATGCTCAGCAACGGCTCTAGTATTAAACTACGTGCCCAGCCATCCAGTGTTCCTTTCTTATTTGAACACCACAAATAACCCTGGCTTTCCACTGGTCTATAATGGCCAGAAAGACATTCTCCTTCATGGATCCTGTCTTGAGAACCTTGAGATGCCCCCCTACAGCCACGGAGTGGGAAATTCAGATACACCCACTGACCATAGTGCTGAACGGAGTGCTTTCCATCCTCACCATCTTTTCAGTAGAGAAAATTGATACCACATGACCAGACACATTACAGAACAGCCCAGTACCATGTTGCATAGGCTCTAGTCCCACCTGTGGAAGACTGAGGCTGAGGAGCTGGGCACATGAGACCATGCAGGGAAATACAGTGAGATCCCAACTCAAACACAGCAACAAAAATGCCATGCCTGTTATGTTTACTAGCATAGTAATTTAGTTTCCACATAAGCACTGAAGAATCCAAAGGTGAGAGGAGATGGACATATGAGGAGATTACAATGGGGGTCAATGTGGTGATGTGTAGCACAGCTAATTGTTTGCCTCTGAGAACCTGAGTCAGCCTTGACCTTCATCCTGGTCCCTCTCCTGCTCAGTCACCTCCTCTTGACTCCCTATTGCTCAGAAAATGGTCCAGCTAGGCAAGAGAAGAATCCCCCTCACCATAGGCCTTGTGGCCAGCTAAAGAAGTCAGGGGTCTTTGGTTCAGACACCCCCAGGCCTCCTTGACCAAGACCACTCGATCCTCAGCTCCCCCTGCTGGTGTTCAGCGATGCTTGGCACAGGTGACAACTCTGGTTATTCTTGAATCCCCAGAGAAAGGTAGGTGGGTGTGGAGAGGACACAGATTCTGATGTCATTGCCTGAAAGCTGGATCCAGCTATGCCTGAAGACCATCTCCTTTGGTCTCTATAGTCAGTAACAAACTTCCTTTCTTTTCTTCAACCAAATGACACCAGTTTCCCCCACTCACAAATGACAGAGGTACAGAATTGCCTGGCCAATGCCTCCGACATCAGCAGTTTTTGTCTTAGAGCCACGGTCTCAGATGAGCGAAGTGCATGCAGTGGGCATCACATGGAGTAGGGTGATGTGGAAATAGCAGGCCCTATCACACGCCTACCCCAGCCCTCTCATTGTCGCCGCTGCGCAGTCCACTCCTGCTGTGAACATTCCTGCCGATGGCTTCAGAGCTGCCATCATCCCAGAGGCCTGGCTCTGTCTCTCCTGGACCTTCACTGTTCTGGCCTCTGGTTATGTCTGGTCTGGTCATGTCTCCTCCTCCGGGAATTCTCCCTGCTGAACCTAGCAGAGAGCTCACTCCATTCAAGCATCACAGCCCAACTCCTCTGGTCCATTTGTACAGATCTCCCTTCTCAACCTTTAGCTGTTTATTTCCCCAAGGACTTGTACTATGGCCTCCTGTCATGCCAGGGGTTCCAATAACACTGAGATGGGTGGGAGGTGACAGAAGTGGGTGAAGAGGGAAATGACATGACACTGTCCTGGTTAGCTCTAACTCTCAACTTGAGATAGTCTAGAGCAGTGGTTCTCAGCCTTCCTAATGCTGTGACCCTTTAAAACAGTTCCTCATGTTGTAGTGACCCCCAACCATAAGGTTAGTTTCATTACTGCTTCATAATTGTGATTTTGCTACTGCTATGAATCATAATGTAAATATCTTTGTTTTCAGATGATAATAGGCGACCCCAGTGAAAGAGTCATCTGACCCTCAAGGGGGTCACGACCCAGAGGTTAATAAACACTAGTCTAGAGTCATCTGTGAGGAGAGTTTCAACTGAGGAATTGCATGGCTCAGATTAGCCTGTAGTCTTGTCTGGGGGGGGGCTGTCTTGACTGTCATTGGATGCAGGAGGGTCCAGCCCATCTGTGAGCAGTACCACACTTAGACAGGTGCTCCTGAACTGTGTAAGAAAACTATGTGAATATAAGCCCAGCTGCAAGTCAGACAGCAAGCAGCCTCCTCCTCTACAATTCCTTACGAACTTCTTTGGCTCTGAGTGAGTTCCCTGTAGGCAGAGGCAGGGAAAATTCGATCTTACTTCTGGAACTGGGACCTTCAGCTTCTCCTGCCTTCAGACAACAAAGTTTGAGCCATTGACATCTGTACTCCAGCATTTCATTTATAAGTGACACTTCACCCTACCCTGGGGGTCTCAAGCCTTTGTTCTGAGACTTAACTAAATTGATTCTAGTCCTCTAGCTTGTCCTTGTGGGGTTCTCAGTCATCACCATTGCAAAAGCTAATGCTTAGGACTCCCCTCCCCCTACATTTGTGTGTGTGTTTCTCTTCCCCCTCCTTATTTCTCATTTATATACCCGTATGTGCTGTATAGAATCATATACGTGCATGGATGTATGATGGTTAGCTCTAATTGTAAACTTGACACACCCTAAAGTCACCTGAGTCACAATGCATGAGGGACTGTCAGCTTTAGGGTAGGTGTAACCACAACTAAGGACATGTGAAAAACCATCAGGAAACACCATTTTGTAAGCCTATTAAAATATAATTTGGAAAAAAGATTTTGAACGGGGAGATACCTCCCATGGGTATCTGTCTTAGTTAGGGTTTCTATTGCTGTGAAGGAACACCATGACGGTGGCAACTCTTATAAGGAAAAACATTTAATTGGGATGGCTTACATTTTCAGAGGTTTAGTCCATTATCATCTCGGTGTGACATGGTAGAGTACAGGCAGACATGGTGCTGGAGAGGGAGCTGGGATTCCTACCTCTTGACTTGCAGGCAACAGGAAGTGATCTGTCTCATTGGGAGTAGTTTGAGCATAGAGAACCTCAAAGCCCACCCCCACAGTGACACACTTCCTCTAACAAGGCCACACATACTCCAAAAAAGCCACACCTCCTAACAGTGCCACTCCTTTTGGGGACCATTTCCTTTCAAAGCACTGTAGTATACTTCTCTCAGACGCCAGAGGTTATTTAATGAAAATGGTCAGGTATAGGCTTCCTCCTAACAATTTGTTGGTCATGGAGATGATAGAGACCCCTAAAATGACCTCCAAAAGAATAGTTCTACTGCTCTTGGTTACCCACAGTAACTTGATAGTAAGACTCTGTTACTGAAGACAGCACACACTTTGGTCACAGGCATAGAGATATCAAGAAGCCCCTCACCACTGGCTAGCTTTCATTGTGCAAGAAGGTGCTGGGAAAAGAAAATATGTAAAGTCATATGCAACTGAGAACACTCACTGCAAGCAACAATAAGGACCTTGCAGGCCAGATGAACCTCTTATGCAACGTCAGCATACCCGTGGGTGTAACCAACTGCTTTGTGATTAGAGTGAAGCATTCTTCAGAGTAAAAAACCCACATCTGGACTGTAGGCTTAGGCAAGAGCTCATGATAAGGGCAGTCATAGGTCCCAGGAGGAAACTCGCTCCTATTATTTCACTTAATTGTTATTTGCCATACTGCACTCTAAATGCTCAGAACTCGTCAGAGAAACTTCTCACTACAGGAGATAACGGTTAATATAGGAACTAGCAAATGGTCCAAGTGACAAGCAGAAGTAATGGTGGAGTGTTTGACCCTAAATGGGTATATATGTATGTACATGGCCCATTCTAAGAATTGGGGGACATTGCAGAAGAGGGGGCAGAAAGAATGTAAATGTCAAAAGATGAGGTAGTGTGCTGCAAAAAGATGCCCTATGGACATGACATTTCACCATGGATGAAGAGATGCACACGAGGCACCACCCTTCCCTGAGGGACAGAGGGACAGTCAGTTAGTGGTTCCTGGGGGAGGGAGGGTCACTTTCACCAGAGCCATGTCCACGGATATGTCGGCCCGTGCTCCAGTAAGTGACCACGCATATACTCATGTGTGCAACTAAAGTTAAGCAAAAACAACGAATGGTGTAAGTGTGGCTGGAGTTTTCTCCAGTCCTGCCTGGCCCACGGTCAGGACAAATCTCTCTCACCCGCAGCCTCTCAGACTCAACCGAGTAAACACAGAGCCTTATATTGCTTACAAACTGTATGGCCGTGGCAGGCTTCTTGTTATGTAGTTCTTCTATCTTAAATTAACCCATTTCTATTAATCTATACTTTTGTCACGTGGCTTGTGGCTTACCGGTACTTTACACCCTGCTCCTCATTGTGGCGGCTGGCAGCGTCTCCTCGACTCTGCCTTCCTGTTCCCCCAATTCTCCTCTCTGCTAGTCCCACCTTACTTTCTGCCTGGTTACTGGCCAATCAGCATTTTATTTATCAACCAATCATAGCAATACACTTAGAGCATAGAGAACATCCCACCATACATAAGAGTAGAAGGGGCCTCACTGGGAAGAAGGGTTTAATCAAGATAGGGAGGGAAATGAGATAAAGTGATGGGGCATTAAAAGCAACTAGAATTCATTTTACACATATTTGAGACCGTCAGAGAATAAATAAGTAAATTTATGAAAACCTGTCACTGCTGTTAATTGATACATGACAACTGATATGTGTGCACATGTTTTTGTGTGTGTGCACATACCTTGGGTTCTTTTCTTCTGAGAACACTTATACACTTCACCAGCATGCTTTCATGTCCTTCCTGCAGCCTCTGGAGGTGACACACCTAGAATTTGCAAAGATGGAATCAACCCCTGCCTCTTCCTTATCTGTCCCTCTCAGAGTCATGTTGGAGTCACATGGGTGTATCAAAGATCCAATGGAAAAGCTGTGCTGTCTGCCTCAGAGGTGCCCACCTTGGCTTGAAAAGATGGATTTATCAGTAAATTCTAGCCCCAGGGAAAGCCACAAAGCAAGGTCCCAACTGGAGCAATGTATGGACTAAGGCTTATCCCTGAGGTTTGTCACACACTTCCAATGACACAAAATGGTCCAAGCATTAGAGGCCACCTGGCCTCAACATCTGCAGATGCTGAGGGCACAGCAGGGACAGCAGAGGGCACCTCTAAGCTCCAGTGAGGTTGGCAGTTCCTACCCACAAGCAACTGCTGCTCACAACACAGAGGACCCTGTGCATGGTGAGAGGACTTGTGTGCATGCTGTGAACTCTACTGTTTGCAAATGAGGCTGAATCAAAGTCCACGTGTGGGATAAAGGACGGGGTCAAGAAAGGCTCATGAGAGAATGGGTAGATACTCCAGCTTGTACAACAGGCCTCACCGATCCGTCTTAGACAGGTGACGTATAAGGAGAATGTAGTAGTTTGAAGAGAGTGTCCCCCTTAAGTTTCAGTATTTGAACACTTGGTCCTTAGTGGGTAGCACCGTTTGGGGTGGTTTAGGTGATGAGCTCTTGTTGGAGGAAATGCATCACTTAGGGGGAGACTTGAGATTGAAAAGCCCCACCTGCTTCCACTTGGCTCTCTGCTTGGTGATTGTGGTTCACAGTGTGAGCCCTCAGATTCCTGCACCTGCTACCGTGCCTCCCTGCCATGATGGACTCTTATCCCTCTGGAACACTGAGCCCTAAATACACTTTTTCTTCTAAAAGTTAACCCTGTCATGGTATTTTATCACAGCAACAGAAAAGTAGCTGCGACAGAGGCTACGGCCCAGGAAAGAAAGGTGGAGAGCAGGCTTGGTGTATGTAGTAGGGAAGGGACATCAAAATTCTTTCCTGGAATAAAACAGAAACCTAAAGACAAACTGGCAGAAAGGAATGGAGCAGCTAGGCCGCTGGCCTCGGACAGAGCTCCTTAGAAGGCCTAAACAGCAGATATGCAGGAATGCCCTGAGTCCTGACTCGGCAAAGCTCATGCCTGGAGCCCCTTAGTCAAGAAAACAGGCTGGAAATGAATCCAGAGTAGACTGGGGGAGGAGGACAGGGATGTGACAGCTTGAGGTAGAACACCCAAAGACCCCAGTCCATCTTATTCCCAACTCCCTGACCCCTTAGGAAGTAGCTGTGCCTCATAACAATGCCCCAGGCCATCTGCCCTCCAATTCTATGACCCCAGGGAGGCCCATGCATCCTCATACCAAGACCCCAGGCCAATTTACCAACTTTATGACCCCTGTGAGGTCCCTGCACGCTCATATCCAGGACTCAGTCCATTCTCTTCCCAACTCTCTGACCCCTGGGAGATACCTACACCCTCACACCCAGACACCAGACCATCTTACTCTCAACTCTCTCAACCCAGTGAGGTTCATGTACCCTCATACCCAGCACAAGCCCATTTCATCCCCAACTCCATTTCATCCCCAACTCCATGACCCTTGGGAGGTCCCTACACTCTCATACCCAGACACATCCTGCTGTCAAATTCATCATGCTCAGGTGAACCTCCCCCCCCCCAAAAAAAAGAGCCCAAATCCCCTTGGGTGGCCAAGGGAAACCATGGAGATGACAATGCTTTTCACATAAGGAATAGATCTGGGTAAGGTTATGGGTCAAGAGCCAGAAAGCCCCAACCAAGAGTAAGAGCAGCATGGTAAGGCTGACTGTCCAGCCAAGACAGCCCTAGCTGAGGAATTCTGCAGGAGAGATAAGAAAGTGTGGTTTCCGAGGCTCAAATGGAAAGGAATATCCAGAGACAGGCCACATAGCAACTTGGGATGCTGGCCTAGAGCAGGCAGCTGTGAGGCTCCAAGGCAATGCAGGGATGAGGTGATGAAAAAGGGGAAGAAGAATGTAAGCATGTTGCAACTCTGGGGGAAAGGTATCCTCACTGTTTGGGAGTCAGGCAACACCTTGAGGTTCTAGGACAGCTCTGGCAACTGGAGCTGGGTGGGACTGAAGGGAAAGGTACCCTGACTCTTCAGGAATCGGGCTATACCTGGTGCAGTGGGGGAGGGTCTCCCTGCAGGATTTAGCAATCCTTTTCCTCTCCTGGAGAGCCACTACGCTCAGCCCCCACTTAAGGGGGCTTCCCAGCAGAGCTCTGCTTCTCCAGCCTAAGATGTTGCTTCTTTTGCTTCACTCTGCCAAAGGGGAAACCCCTGCAGAAATGTAGCAATCTCCTCGGGCTTCAAAAAGTTGTTACTTTTTCAGCTCCCCCTTGCTCAGCCCCCTAAGGGACGTCTCAGCAAGGTTCTTCTGTTCAGCTTTGCCTTGATCAGCCCCTTAAGGGACGTCTCTGCAGGGTGGTCTCTGCTTAGTCCACTAAGGGATGTCTTAGCAAGGTTCTTCTTCTCTGTGCCAATGAATGAAGATCTTCACACCCAAAACTCTTTTGAGAAAGAGATTTAATTGGGTCGAAGTCCAGGAGAATGGTTGCTTCTACCAGGGTGGGAAAGAACAGCCCATAACTGAACAGGCGGGGTGGTTTATATAGGATCCCTTGGGGGCAGAGTTTCTCCAAGGAGAAGATTTTCTGTCCAGGGATTGGTTAGTTTTTTCTGCTCAGGGATTGGTTAGTTTTGTGGGTTAGGGGCAGAGATGGCCCTGATCTCGGAGCCAAACTGTTTCTTTCACTGGCCTTTCTTAGCTTTTTGGCTCTAATTCTAAGGCCAGGGCATATTTCTTTTACTGGCTCTGATTCAAGGGACAAAGTGTGTTTCTTTGGCACTGGTATCAGAGTCGGGGTATGTTTTTCTGGTTCTGGGTTCAGGGATAAGGTGTTTCTTTCTCTAGCTCAGGTCCCAGGTCCAGGGTGTGTTTCTTTCCCCGGTTCTGGGCTCCGGGGTCAGGGTGGGTTTCTTTAGCCAGCCCCTTTTCCCTACAAAGAGGGTGAAAGGAAGTAGAAGACAGAAGAGAAAGTCTGGCTACTCTCCCAAACTGTCTGGGTGACACTGGGGCTGTCAGGGGCTGTTGCCCAGAAACCACCAGAGTCGGCTGGAGTACTGTGGATGCTCTGCTTTACCCACCGGGGACCCTAACAGCCCCGCAGACATTTGCTGAGCTCTTCCTAAGCCAGGACAGTGCCTCCCATCCAGGATAGTGCCACCTCCCCCCAGCCTGGCACCTTTCTTCAGGAGCGGCGTCTCTCCCTCAGCTCCTCTCCTTCCTCTGCTGTTGTTCCTGGACCCTGATCTGAAGGAAGTGATGGGACCATCACTTCTGCTGGTCCAACCAATCCCTCCCAGGCCTAGCTGCTTCCCCCGCCCTTGGCAGGAGGCCAGGGAGAGGGGGCTTGGGTCACAGAGGAACTAAGTCAGGGTCACACAGCATAGGAACCAGACCCTGAGCATTTGGCCCCTCTCACGTTTGTGGAAAGCCTAGGGAAGGGCAAAGGTGATTCTAGGCCCACATTTAGAGTGGCCCCTGCCCTTTAAGGACAGAAGGTATCTAGTATAATCATTAACTTGGGACTTCAGGTGCCAGGAGACCATGAACTTCTTCGTCTGAAGGCGTGAAGGAGGCTTGCAGGGTTTCTTGGTGCAGAACTTGGAGGTTCCAGAATGCCTGCACACCAGCTGCACACCAGGCAGAAGTCAAGTCCCACCTAGAAGCAGCCCGGGGTCTTGGAGGGCAGCTTTTTCTTTGAATCTGTTCAACTGTTGATTTCCTGGGTCAGATTCCTGAGATCATCAGCCCAGCTAGAAGGACATAGCCCAGGCTGGCCTGACTGTAGACTGGAGATGGGGAGGGGAAGGCACGTGGGGAGGGGAGGAGAAGGCACGTGGGGAGGGGAGGAGAAGGCACGTG